AGTAATTCCAGAATAAATCCCAGTGGTCTTCGCTGGCAAGTTCGCCAGGCGAACGGTTAGCGAAGGTTCGCCAGGCGAAGGTTAGCGAACATAGCAACATGTTTTCTTTTCTTGTGCTTTCCATTCGTGGATTGATTATGTGGTTTGGTTGCGACCATTCCTTGTCTGAGATGACTAATTATATGTTGTTATGTGTGTTGTGGGTAGCCGTATGGCGTGAATCCTAGATTATGAATTTATTGTGAATATGTGGCCTTTTGGCATATGTGACGCATTGTTTAAATTGATTAAAAATGCATGATGGACGTGATTGATTTTATTGCCATTTGACACGATATTTGCAAGTGCATATTGCGCGTATGTGATGTATGATGATTGTAAATGTGAACCATGTGTAAATATTGTGAGTGCATAATGAATATATGTGATTAACGTGATGAATGCATGAGTATGTTTGTAAACATGTGTGCATTTCAAGAGTGTCATGAGTCATGTTGCACGTGAAGCATCATGGTATGCATTCTTGTGTGTCTGATTCCTCAGAGAATCTGCAGAACCTCGTGTGCCCTTGTGGGGTGTGAGCGATGGTTATTTATTGATCCCTCGGAGGATTTGCAGAACCTAGTATGTTGCGATGGTTATATTGATTCCTCGGAGAATCTGCAGAACCTCGTGTGCCCTTGTGGGGTGTGAGCGATGGTTATTTATTGATCCCTCAGAGGATTTGCAGAACCTCGTATGTTGCGATGGTTATATTGATTCCTCGGAGAATCTGCAGAACCTCGTGTGCCCTTGTGGGGTGTGAGCGATGGTTATTTTTGGTTCTTCAAATTGAACCTGCTGAAATGAGTCGGTACCGCATTTGCATCTGCATAGAGTCGTGTGTTGGTCTCTATGAGTTGCATGTTGTCATCTTCATATGATGCATTGGTGAAATAAACATGAATGTAGATGTTTATGTGAATTAGCAATGGAATAAACATGTTGTAAATGTTTATGTGAAAATGATGTGAACTATAGAAGTATGATTGTATATGCTTATATGATTTGCGGTAAATGAAACATAATGTATATGTGATTGTTAGGAGAAGTGTGCATATGTATATATTCATTCCCTACACATTGAGAGAAAGGAAGAGTAAACCCTAGTGTGTTGAGATAAGAGAGGAGAGGAAGCTGCAAATACATTCATTCCCTACACATTGAGAGAAAGGAATAAAGAGAGCAAGAAGAAAACCCTAAAAACCAGAAAATAGAAAGGAAGAAAAACCAGAAAATAAAGAGCAAGAAAACCAATAAAAATCAAGAGAGTCACATAGAAACACAAGAGACCCATTGAGAAGCAGAACCATCTAAGACATAGAGTGGAGAGTGAAGAAAACACCCAACAAAAATAAGTTGAGGTCTTGCAAGAAGGAGAACAAACTCTTTGGTATCCATTTCTTCAAACTTTTCCCTCTTTATATCTTGCATTTGTCTTTTGTTTTCTTCCTTTGAATGTTGTTGTGTTGAGTATATTGTATAAGGTCTTAAGAGGAACCAAGGAACCTCTATGAGAATCATAAGAACGAAGAAGAACAAAGAAAAAAGTTCATTTTTATTTCACCCAACAGGGCTGACACGGGCGGCCGTGTCAGCCCGCTGTTTGCATTTCCTTCGCGCGCGCCCCCAGGTGTGCTGACACGGGTCGTGTCGTGTGACACGGGCGGCTGTGTCAGTCTGCTGTCTACCTCAAAAATCATTTTTCGAGGCACTTGTTGACGCGGGCCGTGTCATATGACACGGGTGGCCGTGTCAACCCGCTGTTTTGCCTCAAAAACTCATGTTGTAGGCACTTTTTGACACGGACCGTGTCATCCAACACGGCCGGCCGGGTCAGGTCCCTGATTTTTCACGTTTTTTGCCGTTTTTTTTTTGTTTTTTTGTTTTTGCCTTGTTTAAGACGTCTAACCCTATGTGATTGTATAATCATTTGTATATGGATATTATTGGTCATTTATGACCTTTGGTTCCAAAAACTATTTTCAAAAAAACAAACTCTCGATTCACATCGAGCCACTTTTGACCTTGTAAGTCGATTGCCTTGTGCATCACCATCAACCTTGTTCGTATCACCTCAAACTTTTTAAGCAATCAAACCCTTGATCCAACGTCAAGCGGATTTTCTCAAACAATTGTTGAACCAATTCACCATCTTTAATAAAAGGATAAAGTTCTCTTTGTATTGAACTAAAGAGAGAGGATTGAGTGTAGACTTCTTCCCCTCCGAGTGTCGGGATACTCACTGTAGTGTGTGTGGTCTCGATACTCGTCTTTCAATACGAAGACATAATCGTATTCGCCACACCTCACTCTCGTAAAACCTCGGTCCTGCGCCGAGTGCCTTTTTCAAAATTCTTTTCACAACAAAAACTTGAATGGTCGTGGAGTGGTTAGGTGTAGGCCTTCTCATATCCCAAGTGCTTGACATTTACCGTAGGGTTTACAGTCGCAAAAACACTTACCATTCAAAACAAAAAATACTTTAATAAGAGAATGAAGTTCTCTTTATGTTGAATTAAAGAGAGAGGATTGAGTGTAGACTTTTTCCTTTCTGAGTGTCAGGATACTCACTGTAGTGTGTTTGGTCTTGGTACTCGTCTTTCAATACGAAGACGCTACGTTCGCCACACCATTTCATAACAAAAAACTTTGAGATAAATAATTGGGTACTACCCGCAAGGGGTTACTATCCGAGGATCTATTTCACCCCTAAAAAACAACTCACAAATCAAACGCGACATATTGCCTCGCATGGCGAAAACTAATCATTTCAAAAAGGATATGTTACGTCCGTTCTACCGCAAACAGATAACGCCTAAGTCTCAAATGGTCGAGCAGCAATATACCTAAACTGCTAGAATACGCACGATAACATCATCCATGAAAACATCGGTTAACCTTATCCTAAACTATGTTTGCTCTGATTTCTCATGCCAAATGAGGATACGTAGGCACAAGACGACGATGTCTTGGCGAGCACATTCCCCCTCTATATCCGTAGTCCCCCGAACTACGTCGACTCTGACTTTCACATATCTGTTGAGAATACGTAGACTTAGGACCGGGAAGTCCTATCGAGTCTGTTCTTTCTCTCTTCTTCCCTCGTTACCTCTCTTTCCCTTGTTTATAACCTTTCTCTTTATCCCCTAGAACACACTCATTTATCAATAAACTTTAAAGCAAATATTACCACACGTTGACAAACAAATGGTTCCCATCGAGTACGATGGATGCGGGGGGTGCTAATACCTTCCCTTCGCATAACTGGCTTTCTAACCCGTTCTTGGTCGCGAGACCATCTTATCCGTTTCTTCCCTAGGGTTTTCTCGATGTTTTTCCTTCCCCTCATGGGATAAATAAAGTTCGATGGCGACTCTTCTGTCTATCTTTTCGCCTTCTCCGTCGTTGCATTTTTCGAGTAGCGACACCATCACCTCTTACTAATTACTCTCACACCCCAGTTTTGTACTAACTTCTAATTTCTATTACAAATTCTATTTTTCTTGATTTAAACAATTAAGTCAATTCAAATTGAATAAAAATATCATTTTATTTCTAAAGAGTGTGTTCTCTCGACTTAAGTTATCGGCCCACATATAATAAAATAATTCATCGACATATCACAAATTTAATTAAAATAACAAAATGAATTAAATATGAAAAATAGGGTGTTACAAGTCTCCCCCACTTAATGGATTTTCGTCATCGAATATTACCTGAAAGAAACAACTTTGGATACAACTCTCTCATTCGACTCTCCAGCTCCCACATCATACTCCCTCCAACAAGTCTTCCCCAAACAACCTTCACCAAAACGAAATATAATAATAAGTGATGAAATGAAATTCGTACCTCTCCATTATGCAATGTAGGGGTGTTCGCGGTACGGTTTGAGCGATTTTTATGCTAAAAGTCATCCAGACCGCAAGAGAACAAAAGCTTACAGTTCAATTTGGTTTGGTTGGCTTTTAGAAATAAAATCAAACCAAACAAAACCAAACCAATGCGGTTTGGGTTGGTTCAGTTTTTTATAATATTTTTATTGACTCATACATAAAGAAGAAGATAACTTTGTGTTTAGTTATTCATACATTACCAAATAATAACAAAATTCATCATATTTGGACAACTACTTCCCATTCAATATACAAAAATCAGATTAGACAAATAAAAATCATAAAATAGTAGCATAAAACAATATCGAAAACATTATAATGAAAAAGAAAAAAAATAGAGGAGATGAGAGATTAGAGAAGAGGAAAAAGAAAGGACAAAAGAGATGTCACGTTAGAGAAAAAATGTGCGATAAAAAAGTAATTGGAAGAAAGAACAATAACATAAAACAAGAAAATGAAAAAGAAAGAACATAAGAGAGAAGCTGTTAGAGTAGAAAAAAATGAGATATACATGATAAAGAAGATGAGAAGAAGACACAATACAACCATGAGAGATTAGAGAATGTTGAAATTAAAACACTAAGTGTGAGTAAGAGAAAATCGTCTGTACTCGTAAGAGTAATGCATAATAAGTTTGAGTTTTGGATTGGATTGTGATAAGTGAAGTTTGAGTTATAACATGATGCGATTTGACATGGTTTGATTCAGTTCGATTTACAAAATATAAACCGCAAATCAAACTAAATTGTGCGGTTGTGTTAAAAAATGACTAAAACACATCTGAATCAAATGCGATTTTTTACGATTTCAATTTAATTTAATTTATAATTTTCTATTAAACTGATTAGATTTTGAACATTCATAAAGCAATAATGCAAACTACCGCTCGACCTACATCCAAACAAAACATGAAATGAAATAAGTTGTACTATTATTTTACATCTTACTTCATTCAGTTTTTCCAAATCCAAACAAGTTAAATATTACTAGGTGTTAGATGAGCCTAATGATATCTGCAAATAACAGAAAAGGAGGCCACATCAACAACACAACTGTTACGAAATGGCAGTGAGAACTCACTTCTCCTTACACAACACACTCTTCCTCTTTAACCCCTCCACTCTTTCACACCGTTCCACACTTTCTCATCTCAAATCCAAACCCTATTCCCATTCCCGAACAGCTTTCTTCTGCAACTGCACCACTTCTTCTCCCTCAAATGACCAACCCTTTCTCCTCACAACCCCTCTCTACTACGTCAACGCTCCTCCCCATATGGGTAGCGCTTACTCCACCATCGCCGCTGATGCCATTGCTCGCTTCCAGGTACACTCGCCCCTCTTTCATTCAATTCGATAACTAGGTTGCGTTTAGAATTTCAATTTGAGATATTGATTTTTCATTGTTATTGTTGCATTTCATTTTACAGCGGTTATTGGGAAAGAAGGTGATATTCATTACTGGCACTGATGAACATGGTGAGAAAATTGCAACTGCTGCTATGGCCCAGGGTTCCACTCCACCTGACCATTGTAATCTCATTTCACAAGCTTACAAGACGCTTTGGAAAGATGTAATTTCATCCAAGTTTTTCTATTTTATCTATTTAGTCCCTCAAATTTACGAAATAGCAATTTAATTCCTTGATTTGAATACTGTCGGTCAATTTAGTCATTTTTTCAATATTAGCACCATAAGGAGTGATGAGTAGATCAGATGGAGAGATAGACCCAGATAGAAAAGTTATTAAGAAAGATATCGAGATTAACAATTTGGATAGAAACATGGTCCTGCATAAAATAATATGGTGAAAGTTGATCCTTTAGCCAACCCTACTTAGTGGGATAAGGCTTGGTTGTTCTCGTTGTATGCTTGTTTTGATGTAGCAAGAGACTACTTAGGTCAATAATCAGGTCTTTAATAGTTTTTTTTTGTAGGAGTTTAGTAAAGAAATATTTTTATAGAAGAGCAAAATTGATTGATTTTCTTTAATTTAAGGGACTGGTTAGTTTTTGCTGTTTCGTAAATTTGAGGACCAAATCGCTTGACCTTTCAAATTTCAAGGACCAAATCTTTGATTTACTATTTAATCAAGATAAATATTGTTGTTGGTGTATATTGTTTTTATAGTTTTGTGTTAATTGCAGCTAGATATTTCATATGACAAGTTCATTAGAACAACTGATAGCAAGCACGAAGCAATTGTAAAGGAATTTTATTCGAGGGTGCTTGCCAATGGTGACATTTACCGAGCTGATTATGAGGGAATTTATTGTGTCAGCTGTGAGGAATATAAGGTTATAGCTCTTAGATTGACAATTTTTTAATTTATACAAGCACTTTATTTTGAAGGGTAACATTTTGACTGAATTGTTGTCTTTCTTTAAGTTTCTCATCTTAGTTTCATACTTTTGCTTTAAGAATGTATTGCTATTTGGCGCAGGATGAGAAGGAACTGCTTGAGAACAATTGTTGTCCGATCCACCAAAAGCCGTGTGTTTCAAGGAAAGAGGACAATTACTTTTTTGCACTATCAAAATATCAGAAGTCATTGGAGGAACTTTTGATTAAAAATCCAAGTTTTGTGCAGCCAACTTTCCGTTTGAATGAGGTAAATGAATAGAGTTTTTTTTTCCTCTTATAAGTGTTATATACAAGCTTCCTCTGTTTGTCTGTTACATTTCTCACATGCTGCAATTCAAGCAGGCTTTTTTAAAATTTATTTTCAGAGCTTATTTAACTGCATTTACTAGAGACTATTCATAATGGAAACTTATATGAATCAAATTGATAGAATAGATTAGTCATGATTTAATTAAACTATTTTTTTACATTTCCCAAGTCTTGGAGCTGGAGTTCATGACTAATCCAGCCAATTAACACTCTTTACATTACACGACTTCTAGAAGAATAAGTATTTTCTATAAACATTTAATTTTATTATTGTTACTATAATCTGCAACACTCTGACAGGAGATCATATATATAGTTTATATGTTTATAATGTCATGTAACTATACTTTTCATTAAAGTGATTTTGTGGTCATAAATCTATTGGGTGTAGAAGATTGTAAAACCAATAGTATCCCAAATTGATTAAATCTATCTATTTCTCTCTCCCCTAATCAATGTGTTTGTTTCAGTATTCTTATTGAGCATGGAATCTAATTGAATTATTTGGTATGTTAATCCAATTCACTTAATTCAAGAAATAAAAAACAACTACAAAGGTGCTCGATTTGGCTTGTTTTAAAAACATCCTTACCCCTGCATCCTTCCCCCCAAAAAGTGGAATAATGCTTTACAAAGGTGATTCATGAACTGCATATCATCTCTTTCAGGAGAACTTCAATTGAGTTTTCTTTAAAATAATCTCTTCTATATAAATTTCAAGGTTCAAGCCTGGATCAAAAGTGGCCTGAGAGACTTTTCCATTTCCCGAGCATCGGTTGATTGGGGCATACCTGTTCCAAGTGACAAGACTCAGACTATATACGTATGGTTTGATGCTTTACTAGGGTAAGAGCTTTTATTTTATAATAGTTTGTGCTTCTCTAATTTTCCCTGTCTCTATTCTATAAGCTTTAAGTTTCTGATTAACATTATCAATGCTTGATGAAAATACGACAGTGAAATACATTTAAGTTCAAATAATGCACAATTATTTGTGTGGCTTTATCTTTCATTAATTGAATTGTCAATTACCTTGTTAAACACTTGTTGAATACTTTCTTTTCCTTTTTCTTATATTTGTGCAGCTACATATCAGCACTAGCTGATGACGAGGAACAACCTGATTTATTAAACACTGTTTCTTCAGGTTGGCCAGCTACACTGCACTTGATTGGTAAGGTATGCTCCCTCTTTTCCTTCCTATTTTTCTTCTTAAAATCTCTCTCTGTGCACGCACGCACGTGGGTGTCTGTTCTTTACATACATTTTGTCATTTTCCTTTTCTTTACTCTAAACTTGTTAAAGGTAGAATGATGTCATAGTTCCTTTTTATTTTCTTTTTTTTTGGTTGCCTTTTTTATCCACTTGTCACAATTCTCTCTCATAGTCGACCCCAACTACTAGGAAAGGACTATCATGCTTGTTTTGTTAGAATTCTTTTCTACTTGCTAATCTCCATCTGGGCACTTACACACTGAATCCATCTGTATTTTTGTAATGGTTTTATTCAACCCTTTATATTTATTAGTCATTGGATTTTTTCTTTTATAATTATGATAAAAAGAGAAAACAGAATAGCAAAGCATTCAGGTTCTTATTTCATTGATGGTTTTGTTACTCTGTAGGATATTCTACGCTTCCATGCCGTTTATTGGCCAGCTATGCTAATGTCTGCTGGGCTAAGCCCTCCCAAAATGGTATATGGCCATGGATTCTTGACTAAGGTATTTGTCCTCCAACCTATTTATTATCAAATGTTTCTTCTTGAGGCTACTTGGTAGTAAGTAGTACCTTCGTTAAGCTCTGTCTATTATTTAGAAAAGATGCTTAGTGTCAAATCTTAGCAAAGCCAGGGCCAGAAATTATGCTTTTCTCTTCTTTTTTTGTCTTCTTATAACTAGGCCATTTTTTTAATCATTCTTATGGCTAATAATGATATTAATAAACTATTGTTTATTGTAGTAATGATAGTTCAATAACATTGAGGTGATGGAAGAAAAAACTAAACTTTAAGAGAAATAATAGTAATTATATTGTTTTGTTAAATTACATTAATGCTTTATGTATAAAAAATTACCGTAATGCTTTATAATTATTTCATGGAAAATAAGAGCTCAATAACTATACCACCAATAGTTTGTCAAAAAAAAAAAAAAACCGCACCAATGGTGTTAGCAAGTTTTATACAAGTTCAATCATGTTTCACCGCCCTTTCCACATCATGACATTACTTCTTAGAATGTGTTAAGCTGGTGGTATATGATTGGACGGCTTTGTAAACTTGTTAAGATTATCAGTGTATATTTATTAAACTCAAAAAACAATAATATTTATACTCAACATCAACAATAGTAATTGTAATTTGGCAGTTGATTTGAATTTAATCAATTCACATGTAAGTTTAATTACAATAATTTGTTTAATAAAGGACGGTTCTCCGCAGAAGACCAGAAACTAAATTTGGCCTTTATTAAAATAAGTTTTATAAATCTGTTTCTTATTTAAATTTTATTTCATGCAGCAATGCTTTTTATTTTGAAAATGTTAGGATGGCATGAAGATGGGCAAGTCACTAGGAAATACGCTTGAGCCAAACGATTTGGTTAGTAAATTTGGGACAGATGCAGTCAGATACTTCTTCCTCAGAGAGGTGGAATTTGGCAACGACGGGGACTATTCAGAGGAACGCTTCATCAATATTGTAAATGCACATCTTGCCAATACAATTGGTACTTTGAGCCTTACTTTCATCGATTGTGACATTCAGTAACAACAAATTGGTTAGTTTTAAATTTTTACCATGATTCTAATGCTAACTTTTATATGTATATCTCGACAGGAAATCTTCTTAATCGTACTCTAGGACTTCTGAAAAAGAATTGTGAATCAACTCTGGTAGTGGATTCCACTACGGCTGCAGAAGGAAACGCATTCAAGGACAATGTAGTGAGACTGGTAAAGTCTCTAGGAAACTAATATTATGCTTTTGCTAACTTCCCATATTTTCAATACATCTATCCACCATTGTTCATATGTTGCCGGAGTTTGATCAATATTTACATTTGCAGGTTGATAAAGCTCGTATTCACTATGAAAATCTCGCACTGACATCAGCTTGTGAGGCTGTTCTGGAGATTGGTAATGTTGGTAATTCCTATATGGATGAGCGTGCTCCTTGGTCTCTCTTTAAACAAGGGGGTACCGCTTCCGAAGTGGCCGCCAAGGTATTTTCCTCAAACCTATAGTAGGAAATCATCCATCTACTAAACACCTGTTTCTTTTTTTACAGTGATCAATTTTCTTTTCATATAATGTCGTCAACAATTGAACTTTGTTTTTCTTTCTTAACCAAGCATCATAAGCCTAAAAAACATGTCACGTATTTTTCGTTTTTGTTGAAGATAAGAAAATGACTAAGCAAGAAAATTTTCACTTGTGGTGTTGGAGCAGGACCTTGTAATTATATTAGAGACGGTGAGAATTATTGCCATTGCACTATCTCCCGTTACTCCGAGCTTGAGTTGGAGAATATATTCACAACTTGGCTATTCCAAGGACCAATTTGATGCGGCAACCTGGGTATCTATCTATTTATCTCTGACACATGTGTGCGCGTACACACAAATTCAGATATAATGTTTGATTTAAAATGTTTCGTTTTGTAGAGAGACACCAATTGGGGTGGACTTAAGGGCGGTCAGATCATGGCTCAACCTCAACCAGTGTTTGTTAGGATTGAAAACCAAACTGAAGTGGAAGATAAACCTGTTGCAGTGAGCAAGAAGACTCCAAAAAGTAAAGGGAAGTTGAAACAAGCTCAAGAAGTTACTGGTGCTTAGATGCTTTACCCTTTTCTGAATTATCTTTGTTTTCACCAACTTGTGTAATGTAGAGTTAATTCTTTTGCTGATATATGTACACAAGTTTTTATATTTAAGTACATACATATGCCAGAACGTATTTATGTGCACTATACATGTGTATGCATATAAATTTTGAATGGAAGTTTCAATTTATTTGATCTAATACGTTCATGGAATCTCAGAACTAACAAGTGAGATTAGCATGATTCAAATATGAAGTAACAGCAATGTTTTACAATAATGTACACATCAAACATGAGTTCAAATGCACACATCCTTTACACATTACTAGTTTTGTGTCGTTCAGAAGTACAGTTATGCGAAAATTGTTGATGCAATTTAGAAAATATGTTAGATTTCTTTTGTAGCTGAGGGCACGAAAAGAAGTAGCACATGTTGGAATTTATCATATAATAATTGATTTTCGTGATTATTGGTCCAATTAGCTTTAATACTTAACATTGAAGGTGCTATTTTTTATTTTATAACTTAATTTTTTAGGGTGTGTTTGGTTATGAAAAAACTTAAGAGTAAAAAGTGAGAAAAAGTATAAAAAAATTAAATTAATTTGATGTATTAATTGATATAAGAGGAGAATAAAAAAAATAGAAAAGAACAAAGGATTGATTATTTTTTATGATAGAAATAAAATAATCTCTACCCACAATCTTATATAAGTGTTCTTAGATAAAGTATTAATTACTTCAAAAATATCAAATTATCTTCAATTTAAAAGTATACAATATAAAATAATTTACTTTTATATTTAAATATTAAATTTAATTAATTGAATTAACTCATTAATGTAGACGTAATATGTTTGTTAATATATTTACCCACTTCCTAATACTTTAGACAAAATTCACCACTATTTCGCATCATAATAAAATATATCACTTTATTTTTAGTTCGATGAATCAAAATTCATTATTTTTTAAATGAGGAACAATTTCAAGAAATGGTCAAGTAGTTATTGGAATTTTAATTCCATATCCAATAATTTATCAAAATTAATTATTGTTACGAGTGTGACAGCTGTATATATCTAGGCCCACGCAGAATAGTTAAGCCCACCCCACAATTCCAAAGCCACAAGACGACAAAAAAACCACAGAACCAGACGAGACCAAACAGTTCATGCATTCGTTGGAGAAGCCGACAACACAAAATGAACCAGGTGCAGGTACGCTAATCCTGTCTCTAGCAACCCTAGATTTTTATTTTATGCTAATCACGTTAATCAACTTATTATTTCTTCATATTCATCTGCGAATGTTGGCTTCAGGATCTTCCATTGACTTCAATTTAATTTCCTTTCGCTTTCAGTTGTTAGATCTAAATCACTTCGCTAATGAGAATGAGATTTCGATTCAATCAACTTCTTGAAATTTTCATTTGATAATAATTGTATACTGGTCGCATAGCGGAGTGGATATCGCGTTAGACTCCGAATCTAAAGGTCGTGGGTTCGATTCCCACTGCGATCACTTATTTTTCTCATCTGTAATTTTTCTTCTTCTTTTTTTAGACGAAATTGTGGTTAGTTTTCACATTTTGAATCATATATTTGAGTGAAAAGCAATAGAAATTATAATAGTTATATTAAAATAACAGTAATTTACAGCTATTTTGCGTGTTCATTAAATGATGTATGTCTTTTGTAGGCACATGGTAAAATTTTGGTTATTTATCTTGTTTGGAAAATAATTTGCTAAAAAGCACGAGTTTGGCACGAGTTTGGTGCTTTTCTCTGTCAGATGTCTGTCTATTTTAGCTATATTTTTGTAGTTACTATTAATATATGATGGATGATCCCTCAATTGCAAAGTTCAAAAAGTTGGGATTGAAACATGTTTGAAACATTTATTGCCATTATTAATGGTTTGCTGATCATCACTAAATTATCACTTGGCTTTTTTTTTGTTTTTTTTAACATATGTTCTAGCTTCTAAGAGCTACCTAGCACCGACGATTATTATGGTAGACATGTTTTGTGTTTGATATCGTTCAATCCAAACAAAAACTCTTTTTGATATAAAGTGTAATGAGAAACACTTTTTTTACTTTTTTTTTTCTTTTTCCTGTTTGCTTTCACTGTTTCACATGAATCTAAAAACTAACAGACATACATGATTTTGGAGTGTGGACACAAATGGTGTTGAGGTTTTCTTTCCTTTTTGGGACATTGATGGTCCTGACGTAGCTGCTAGTGAGGGTCCTGATGAAGGATAATCATGTTTCTACCGTTGTGAATGCGGATTTTATTCTGTAATTGCATGCTGGAATAGTTGCAGTAGAATTTTGAGTGGCTAATCTTTCTTTATGGAGTATTAACACTAATTATTGAGATGGAGAATATAATGCAGTGGAATCATTAATGTCTTTTATGTAGTGATTGTAACTATTCCATATTGACAAATAAGTAACGAAGATTCTATATGTCTTTGATTTGGTATAATTGCATTAACAGACAGCAATTGTGATTGTAAACAAATAATGTGTCATCAAGCTCAAAAAGGCCCCATTAAAGCGGAGGCAATTTAGTGGTGTCCAGCTTGGAGGGGATAAATAAGAGCTCATCTCATTAACGACTCAACATTATTTATTATTCAAGTTATTGTAAGGGGAGAAAGTATAAAAACTAATAAACTCTATTTAGGAGTAATTGATTACGACAATACTTAAATATGGATGGATTTTTGAGATTTGGGCTCCCTTTTCCCTCTGACTTCCAAACCTAAATAGTGGTAGCTCTTCTTAACTTATCGGTGAATAATATGAAAGTTAATTTCTAAATGTCTTCCATACACACCAAAATATTTTGTAAGGGAATCACTTTTATTTTGGCAAAAGAATAGTATAGAAGTTAACTTATGTAAACAAAAATGGTGAATTTTTAGGTTAAGTTCTGAAGTAATCCTTGAAAATATTTTTAACTCATGATAGTGTGTTTATTTTTACAACTCAGAGGATGTTACAAAAGTTATGTTCTGTACTAACGTTCAGGACAATAAGTTTCCCTCTTGAACAATAGTTTTGTTATAAATTTGATATATTTTAATAAACTTTATATTTTAAGCCATTTTGTACAAATTATACATAATTGTTATTAAATTAAAACCATATATTTATGTAATTCAATCAAAATATTATATATTAAGTCAAAATGCAAACCATACTACAAGGAAAAAGCCAACTATTGGGTATATCTAACCCCTCAGTTCCTCCTCTGCCTCCTATATTACAAGGCATGTTGTGCCTGAGCCATCATAGCCTATACAATGACCTCTCAGGAATGTCTTCTTGAAACTTTCCTCTCTATGCTCGCTTTCTCAATAACCACAATATGATGATAGACGACAACACATCAACAAAATGGCCAGGCTTAGAATGTCCTTCTAATATCTTATGATGAGCCATCTTAGGCGGCTCTCCCTTTGTATATGGTATAAAGACATGACTCTAAAAAATCATTGTATGCATTCGTATGCAGTTCTCTATGGTTGAGGAGCTAACACACTACATACATCCACTAGGACCTGATGATAATGATATTTCACAAATATCTCATCAACATCTTTGAGCTGGAGTGTGGGAGGAGAAACAACGATGATGGCTCTATGAATACCCTACATATACCTAAAATGGCGCATGACTCACTCAGGTAGATGTGAATACATCAATTGTGACCCACAAGTCAACCATCTAGAGTAGAATGATGTCTTATTGAAAGGGCATGTCTCATGGTGATCATCGTACGTTGTAAAATTTATATCATCTAGCGTGATGCAATAAAGATAAACTCAGAAGACTTAACCGCTTGATTCCCTCTGAGCGAGATGAAGGAGCAAGAACGTAACAAAGCCTTGTTGTAGTCATCCGTCCACAGAGGCCCAACCGAAGAAATGTGGAAAGTGTCGGAGGATCCATGCATGAAAAATGGTTTAAATGAATTATTAGCAACAACGTAGCACAAATTTTATGAAATATTAGTAATAGTTGCGAGTGCTATCTACAAATTCAATCAGGTTTTGAATGATGTTAAAAATAGTAGTATAATGTAGCATTTTTGTATATTGGACGATATCAACCTAAGTTTAGACGTGCATTGATCATTATTAGCTTTAAGATGCATACAAGTGTTCTTGAAATGATTTGATAGGTCTTAGGCATAACATTCTCGTTAATAATCAAGTTTGTGTGTCAACAAAACTGCACTGGCCGACCTATACGTGTTCAGGTCGACATGTAAAATTTTTTTCTTCAGTTCAGGCTGGCATATACGACTTTCGGCCGGCTCCCACGCTCCAAGAATGAAGCCTGTGGATTCTGCCCATAGGTCGATTCCTTCAGGCCAACCTGAAGACCTTGACAGACCGACCTATTGCTTTCATAGGTCGATCTGTAGCCTTCTAAAATTTAAAATTTCACTTTTCATCTTATTTTTCTTGCATCCTTTTTGCCTATTCCCACATACACATATATATACTTATACATACACCATTTATCTAGTAAGGTACTAGTGAATTACCTATACGAAACCAAATTACAAAGCATTATCATCATCTTTAACCTCTCTTATAAGCATACACAATTGAACTACACATGATCATTTTTCGATTTGGTGACCACCTAGATTAACGTTGATAACGTCTAATTAGGTTTAGTGTAGCCGAGAATATTGGGTTGGGATTTTTGTGTGCTTCAAATAAGAAAATCAAGGTGGGGTTTTCCTTCAAGATCAGTATGATTTAAAGGTTTTGGACAAAATCACGTCAACATGGATTCAACCGAGTGAAGGCTTTGGGAAAAGGTGGTTTCCTTGCAAGGGAGTAGCGCGAGACGGTGAATCGTGTTTGAGAATCTTGGGTTCAACAAGTGCATGCTCAGGATAATCGGAGGATTAGAGCCGCATTGTTGGTGACTTGATTAAGCTTTGATCAAGGGTTTGAAGGTGGTTGATTCAACAACAAACA